GTAGGAGCGTTTCGGTAGAGGTGCCATCGGCTATGTTGAAGTCGGCCCTGTCCCTCTACAGGGGGAAAATTCAAAAACAGTCAAAAAACAGTTTCGGGACTGATTATGTTTAGCATTGTTTGACCATTTGGGGATATTTTTTGAGTAATTATTTTTTGTTGGTTCGTCGAAAATCCTCTTGTATGGGGGACACGCCCGACTTAAGGCTATGTGCGCGTCCCACGCCTCGTCGCTGCCGCCCTGGATGCGCCAGACCTTCGGAGTGAGGGCCCCGGCCTTTCCGTGGGCGCCGCCGGGGATGCACAGCAGTGTCGCACCGGGTCCTGTTGGCTCCTGTCCTGGCCTCCGAGGGGCGCCGGCAGGGCCGTCTGGGCTGCGCAGCAGGTGCTTGACCTTCTCGATCGCGACTTGCCCCGCCGGCTTCGGCGGCAGCGGGCTGCTCGTGGCGCGGATCTTGGTGTCCAGGAGGATGTCTCCCTGGTTGTCCAGCCAGCCCACGCTCAGATCCTAGGAAGTGCTGAACCCCGTGGGCTACACGGCGCGCCGGCGGCAAACTAATGCTCGCCAGGCACTGTGCCAGTGGGCCACGCCCGGCTACCAGCACCTTCCTCGTCCTCGATGATGCATCCCATGCTCGGAACATAAGAGGTCGAACGCGGTCAGCATGTAGCCGAGCTGCTTGAGAGAGCGCTCCAGCCTCTCGATGGGCAGTCCCACTGGCGTGTCTACGACGACCACATTGGGGCGGTCCTGGCCCACACTGAGCTCTGGGGTCCGTCGTCAGAGACGTCAGCACCAAGGCGGCCGCCTGCCCCTGGTCGGCTTCACGTCCTCCGAGTTTGACGAAGGCGTCCCGATATCCCTGGAGGAGGCCGCCTAGCTCTATGCCGATCTGGCCTGCCAGTGGGAGGCTGGCCCTGGGTGCAGTAGGCGTCGGGAGCACGCGGTGCCGCAGCGCTGATTCGGCCAGCGGCCCTGTCTCGCCTGGGATCCGCAGGGGCCTGTCCTGGGCGCCCGCGGCGATCGAGCCTCATGCAACGGGCGGCTCCAGGCGATGCCAGTCGAGCTCGCTGTGCACCTTCTTTACTTCCTCCCGCGTCAGCCAGTCCGCCACCTCGTTGTGGTATGTGCGTGCGTAGAACGATGTGAGCACGAAGCCGCACTCGGCCTCCATCCTCTCGAGCGTTCTTGGGCCGGCCCTTCGTCTGCCAGGACTTCACGTTCGGTTTGTCCGCGACGTAGAAGACGAGCTCACTTGCCCACAGGCATCCCCTGAGGCCGCCAATGCCACCAGTGCTGGGAGCTCCACGACAGAGATGATCCAGTCACTCTCCGAGCTGGGCCCGACCACGGCGTCGCTGCGCTGTTCCAGCAACGGTTTCGCTTCCGTCGCGAGGTACGAGGGCGGGCCGGAAGCCGTGCCGTCCCCAGCGCGGCCCCAGTCTACCGCCCCGATCGCATCCAGGGTCGCGCCACCTCCTGTCCAGCGTGCGCGGCACGCTACCCCTGGCAGGGCCATCGGCTCGCGGGGAGTCAACGCCTGGCTGAAGCCCGCCTGGAAGGAGGTGCTTCAGGCCTCCGGCGCGTCGAACATCACCCTGACGAGCTCCGGCGTGCGGTCCCACTCCTCCCAGGCTGCTGCCGCGGCGTCTGGGTCGCCCTTGGGGGCTGCCCAGGGAGACCCCCCGGCGACATGCCCCAGGAGTCTGTCGAGCACCGGGAGCTCTGGGCGGATCGCGGGCTGTGCTGAACTCCAGTGCTGTGCATGCCCCCTAAGCTCCTGGACCAGGCTCGTCGGAACACGGCGCGCTCCGTAGGCCAACTCTGGCAAGGCGAGCAGGTACTGATGCACTTCAGCTCGGGGAGTCGCGTGGTCGTCTTGCTGAAGTTCATGTGCAGCCCCCGCACCAGCTGCTCGGGGGCGAACTCGCCCTCCTCGGCGAGCTTGCTGGCGTTGACCGCACGGGGCCCTCAGACGCGCTTCACGGCCCGGTCGAGCTCGTCCCCCGACAGCCAGGTGCGGATGCCAACGAGGGGTTCAAGCACCACCCTGTCGTCCATGAGCCACTTGCTGGTAAAGCTTACTTCGTCGTTGACGGCTGGCGTTGGCGGGCGGTGACGTTCATGCTCCTTCTCTGCGGCCCAGGCGAAGGCCATGTACTCCCCTGGGCTAGCCGACCAGCCGAACACCAGCACCGAGTGGATCATCACGACCTTCCCGTTGATGCCCGCCGCATCTCCTGGCAGGGAGGTCCCGAACTCCGGGACGGCGGCTGGCTCGAGGTGGTGTCACTTGAAAGCGCGAGCAACGTCGCGCTTGGCACGCAGGTGCGGCACTCCAGGGTGCCGAGCTTCCCACCACAACGACAGCCTGGCGAGCCCACGATGGAGTGGCTGCTTCGCCTGCGGGTGTTCCTCCTTAAGGCTGTCCACGTTGTCGCACCTCAAGTCGTGGATCGGTCGGCCCTCCGCGGAGATGGTCCAGTCTGGATTCTGCTTG